AACCCCAAGTTAATTTGAATTAAAATAATCCATATTTTGCTATGATTAAAAGTGTAAACGCTAACTCATGTGTCACCCTTATCCTATAAAAAAAAACTGTAAAAGCGCTAAAATTCAAAAAAGACAAGATAACGTAAAAAATACAATAACTCTGCCTTTGATTCAAAAAAGCACAAAAGAGGTAAAAATCTCGCATGTTACCAATAAGTTTTATAAAAAAATTGTATAGAAGCGGACACTGGTGCTATCTGATCGGAATTCCGCACAATTTTGCGTAAGTAAGGAGCTATGAAAGAGTGAACATCGGTTCGTCATTGTCAAAGTGTAACAAGATCACTCAAGGTACCTGTTCGCAACAATACTCCAAGCACAGGTTTGCACTCCGAGAAGTGCCTTTATTAGTTCTTTGTCAGTAACTACCTTCAGTGTTGTAAGTTAACAAAAAATAATACGGTTTTTATACAACGCCAAAGAAGTGATTGACATTGTGTGAACTAATACAACTGTTTGGAAAAGAAATCGAAATATTAAATTATTCAGTGCCAATAATAAAACATTTATGTAGCGATAGTTTAAGGGTACGGTAATATAAGTATTTGAGACGTATTTGGGATGGATAGAAATAATAGTATTGCTAGTATTTTCATTAAAAAGAACACATAATGATTAAGTAAAGATAAAGACAGCCTAATATATTATATCCTACTAATCTCAGTTTTTCACAGGCTTCCGATTACAAGTTAAAACTCTCCAATTCCCTTGACTCACCATACATTATACTGCTATTTAACGCTAATGTTCTGTGAAAGCGTGGTCCTTTCCCATCCCTATAAGCTGTCACTTGACTCTTACCGCCTACGACGTAAAACTATATTTTAACAAAACCAACTTGTTCTTACTGTGATGAGTAGTCAACAAGTAATAATAGTATCACCGCCTTGTCGTGGCAGGGAGGCTCAAAAGCCGTGGCTTTGTCACCCACGGTGAACTAAGAGGAACCCAGATGGCTGGCCCGTGGTGAAGGGTTGGCCAGACGTGGCCAATCCGAGTGGGCTTAGCGAGACTACATCGGATGTGTGTTGGTAGGCTGCGGCGAGAGTGGTGTCCCCTTCACCTACAGCTGCAGCCGAGACGAAGTCGCGAGAGAAGAGTTGTGTTGGTATGGCGATACGCCACTCGCCCTATCCTTCGCGACTCTGGTGGGACCGCACCGTTGAAGCAATGGTAGTAAGGCTGCAGGGGTAGAGAAATGACGGTATTGCGAGGTGCCGCTCTCCCTACTCTCTGCATCCGAGTCATGACCAGATTCACCGCTGGAGTCAGGAAGACTAGTGCTTCCGAGTGCTCATTTTTCCTGGTCACGTGGCTTTCACACATCGGACACGGGGGCGAACGTTACGCTGGTGAAGTTGGAGGCCGCGGAGGTGCTATGTTTTCTAGTGTGCCTTAACTGAGAAGGAGATGAGGGAGGAGCCAAGAGGCAGCCGGTGCTGGTGGAGCATAAGGTATGCAAAATTACAAGTGCGCGTAGCCTATTCCTTATCCGAACTTGGCAGTCACACTGCCGTGTGTCCATGAGTTTTAATCAGGACCTAAAGTTAGTTGTTATTATAAAGTTCGTAACTCGCAAGGATATCAATCCGAAAATGTTACAAAGTAGGTAAGAGAGTTCTGCGTAGCGATGGCACCCTGTGGCGAAGCGGCGGTCTTCAAACATTGCTCTTTATTCACAGTGACAGCCGAAATTGCCCTACATAAGTAAAAAGGGGCATCTCGAGCGTAGTTTGTTTGACACAACAAACTGTTCGGCACGGATACGAGGACAGTTAATGACACATTTGACACCGGTGGATCGAGCTCATCGAGCCATTTGCTTTTTTTTGTCAGTGTGGTTTTAACACGTAAATATTTCGCTTATATCTGTTTCGTTTTAAGATGTAAGCTTGGGTATATTTTTTATATGTATGTTAATCAATACAATGTGTGTATAATTCGTGAATCAAATTCACACTCTTCACTTTTTATTTTATATATTATTGCATAATTCTTATGGTGAGTGTAGAGAAGAGTGTTACTGGAAACGAGGCACTCTATCTTAGCCCTCAAAGGAGCCAATTCATCTGCTTTTTGATTCTTAGTCGAGGATAAATGTAGATATCTATGGGTCACAACATCCACTTACTATCAGGTGGACTAAGTGTCCTTGTTTGTCACATTTATTCTATAAAAAATATTACAAAAAAGAATTTAAATTTTCTCAATCCTTAAAATTAAGAATCATGTTACGACGTGATTCCCATAGTAATATATACCTAGTTACGTATCATTATTATCAGCCTGTGAGTAGTTCACTGTTAGAAGACAGCCTATTCCATAGTATCACCACGCTTAGCATCCGCAGTATTAGGTTCTCGTGTTGAGCTTGGATTTACCAAGGCGGAAAATTTGCTCTAAATTAACGTAACTACTCGTGAACAACTTCAATCGTAATATTCTCAACAACTACCAACAAAGGTGTCAAATGGTGTCCTTTGTTTTGTCCACGTTCATCTTGCAATCTATCCATTGGGCGACACTATTGAGGTTTATTGACCTAGTGATGGTTAGGTAATAGTGTTAAGGTCCTTCAGTGATTCTACCATAATGACTATGTCGTCGGCTCGTCGGCAAATCGAAGGTGAATGATAAACTATCCTTTGATGTTGATACCATATACCTACTTTCCAGTCTAGTAGTTAGAAAAACGTCTTCCGATGCAGCAGTAGTGAATTTTTCGATCAAATTTATAGTCTACCTGGTAAGTGAAAATTTTAATCCACGGACACCTGCAACCAACTTTAACAAGGCTACAGATGTGACGTCACGTCTAAGGAGTCGTATGGAATGCCTTACGGCGTGTGACTATACTGGCTTTTTATACCCTTCAGTCCGAGACACAACGGTGTAAGCACTACAGTTTGCGGCAGAAGTGAATAAGAGATTTTTTTATAGAATAAGGGTGACAAGCGAGCACAGTCCACATGATGGTAAGTGGTTGCTGTGACCCATAGACATCTACATCTATCTTCGTTTGCGAATTAAAATGCAGATGCGTTGTCAGCCGTGAGGACTAATATAGAATGCCTCTTTTCCAGTAAAATGGATCTCCGGTTCACTACACTCACCGTACGAAACACAGCAGCATTAAGCTGCTATTTTACGCAGGTATTCTGTGAGAGCGTGGTCCTTCCCCGGTCGAGCCGACCCATTCGTGCTACATCTATACTACTAATATAGCTGCAGCATGGCTCTACCGTGTACCGTACGTGCAATGCACCTACCAAGACAAATTCCCAGACTGAAAAGGAGTCCAAGTAGAGTTTCGGATTTATAACGTCACTTTGTCTTATTCTTGCCTACAGTTGTATAGGATTCGCACTCTGGTTCACCTTACCCGTAGCAGCCTTATCTATGAGCAGAAGATCAAACGTGTCAGAGCTTCGATGTACCGTCAGTTATTGCACACCGCTGTAGAGACTGTACCGCCGGCCAATTTCGACAGAATTAAAGGCTTTCATAACCCTCATACGCAAGATGATATGGTAAATTATATCCTTCGATATTCTGTACAATTTGCCAAAGAGTATGTATCTGGTATAAGGTAATAAAGGCTTTCCGGAATCCGCCTTGTTTGAAAAGCTAGTTCATAAAATCTGCGAGCGAGAGAACTCTCGAAAACAGCGCGTAGACGCGACTTAGAATGAAAATCGGCCTGTAGATCTTCAAAACAGCGTTTCACCTTTCTTGAAGAACAAAACTCAGTGGTTTTCTTTTCTGCCTTTTTACTTCTGCCCCAAACTTGCGGACTAGTGCCACCATGGTCGACGGAATTACAGTTTTAGAAGGACTTTTTCTTTTATAAAGCACAGCTATTTAATCCGAACTTCTACCCGTTTACGTCGCGAGACGTCAATCACCTCAGTCCCCCGTGACCATGGGTGCTGTAAAGCACCCAAAACGTCGGGAATTAATAAAAATAAGAAAAATAAGTTAATTTAACGCTAAAAAATCCGTAAAAGTAGTTTTATTCAATACGATATTTTCTTTATGATTTTTAAATTCAATATTAACTAGTGTATTGACTCGTAAAAGGTGACACAAATACAATTTAATTTGTCCGCTCGCCAATAGATGTCACCACAAGTTTTCTCTTTCCTTTAATTTCTTTGTTCAACTATATTTTTTTCCACTTTTACACATAGTTATCTGTAACCATAAATTATTCTTTTTTATAAAATTATTCGCAGTTACTTTTTTCTTCTTAGTTACTCACAGTCTCGCAGTTAGGTGCATCATCGCACGAAGACAAGTGCGTCATCTATTTAAGGTAAGAGCATCAGTAAATGACCATTTAAGGGCACAGACTTTCCTTTTTTAATGCTGAACCTTAATTTTCATGCGAATTCAATGCGTGTTTCCTTTTCTAAACTCTGCTGTAGTTTTTTAACGAAACAAAACCAGTGTTTATTCTTGTACAATGAGTGAATAGAAACAATTATTTTTTTTAATTATCAAAAATTACATTTAGTAGTTGACCATCTAACACAGTAGTAGATGACCATATATTGCATCAGTAGATGACCATCCAGATGTTCAAGTTTTAATAGGTTTATCTACATATATAGCAGCTAAGTATTGAGCATAGGTAAATAAATAATGTTTCAGGATTTTTGGATTTCACATTTTAATGGGGGGGGATGGGGAAGTCTGTGTAGGAGTATCGGTTTTTTAAACTAGAGAGAGAGAGGGAGAAAGTGAACTAGGGTGGGACCGATAGATGGGACGGGATAGAGGGGGAGGGGGGGGGGGGGGGAAGAAGGAGGAACAGTTAAAAACGTAAACCTACATGGAACAAATCGCGGGCGTCCGCTAGTTTGTTAAATAAGAAGCAAATTCAAACAACTTGCGTGTTATTTGAAATATAATAAGAAAATCTACAAACATTAAAAATTACAAAGAAGTTATATAAAGGAATGTATCTCTGGAACATCAAATACATTTCTCGTTGAACTGGTCTTTCTTGGTTCTTCTATATGAGCAACTACTGCATCCCAAGGATAGTCAAGCACGTCTTTATGATCCGGCCATTTCCACAACCGACCATTTGCTTTCATCGATGAGATTGTAGCTGTTTTTTTCATTGCTTTTAGTACTTTCCCGGGATAAAAGTTATTTTCGTACTTAAATATGACAAATTCACCATCTACTCTTTGAGGAGGTTTCAAACCCACAATGATAGATTCTTGATCAGTGTCATTTTCTGACTCTTTCACACTTTCTCCTGAAGAGACCACAGCATTCGAGTCAGAACTTGACGAAGAGAATCGGAGATTTTTCTTTACCCGCTTTATTTTGGTATGTTTTATTATTTTGAGGGCCTTGACTTTCTTTAGTGACACTTTCTCTTCTTTCTTTCTTAGCTTTTCAGCAGCCCTTTCTATTTTTAGTCGCTCAAGTTCTTTTTTTTGCTCCAATTTCCTCTGTAAATATTCCTGGTAAGTTTTTCCTGAAACTATAGTAGGTATTCTTTCTTTAAGACGTGTTTTAGGTGTGTCCTTTTTGTTGTTAGTTTTGTAAAAGAAATGTTTCTTAAAGGGACTAGGTACATTATTTGGTACAGCGTCAGAAGTGCTAGCAACACTGTATATACCGGAATTTAATCCATCAACAACAGCGTTAGTTGAAGATTCTGGAATCATTTCAAGCATACCGTCAGGAGCTGTGATGTCTAATTGATGTAGAGTGGTATCATATATACCGTCAGCAATGCTAATTGCTGGCGATCCTGATATTGGCATTAGCACCTCGTCACCAATAGTAATAGGCATCGCTGTTGCTGATGACTCCATTGTAGTTTCCAAAACACCATCAGTATTACTAGAGGCTGACTGTTCCGTTGCCAGCTGAAGTAGATTGTCTATACCGGTGATGGCTGATGAACCAAATCCTACAAGATGCGGATCAGATATTAGGCAATCATCCACGGTAACACCTAACGATCCAACCTCTTTTAATGTAGAACCGTTAGTTTGGTTAAATTGTTGTAGCATTTTCAGTTCATCTTTTGTTTTTTTCCACAAATTGAATAACGATAAATCAACCAAATCGCCGGACCATTCTCCCAATATTGATTCAAAAGTTTCTAGTTTTTCAGGATTAATATTATCGTTTAAAAATTGTAAGCCCCTTTTCAGATAATGAATTTGTTTACTATCGTCCTGAATTTTGCTTCTCTCATTCGCAACTGGGACTTTTACCTCCAGCGGGTTCCACGGAAATAAGCCACATTTCCTGAAGCCATTTGCCAAAATTGATTTAGTTATGGTATTATCCATTACCTCGTGTAATAACTTAGCGAAATCCTTTTTCTTAAGTACGTGAGGCTCATCATTTTTTATTTTATCAACCCTCCAAATTTGTACACGCCTCCTCCATGCTTCCTTTAGTGGTTTAAATACTGCCACATCCATGGGTTGAATTAAATGGGTTGCGTTAGGATAAAGTGCCACTAACACGATTCCCTTTTCTTCACAAAACTGGCTAGTTTGAAATGATAAATGAGATATGTGCCCATCAACAAAGAGAATAACTGGTAATGCTATTTTATTCTTAATCAACCAAGGATAAAATATATCGGCAACATATTCAAAAAATGCTTCACATGTCATCCAACCTGAGTCGGTTTTTCCAATACCCCAGTCTGAAGGAAAGCTGTAAGCTTTAAGCTGTAAGCTGTAAGCTTTTGTAGTGCTTTCAGTGTCACCGAGGGTGACACTGAAAGCACTACAAAAACTTGCAGGGAGCGCCAGACATGAAGTTTCAATGTTCGCCGGCAATGAATTAGAGATGTAGTTTTTAATAATTTAGCTATCCCTCGGGTTTATGATACTCAAATTTTTCACATTTTTCACTTATTTTGAGCTAACATAAATCTACTCGACTCGGGGGCCAATATTTGAGACATCTTTGAACCGCAGTCTGAATCGGCTATTCGCCGCAATACCTATGTGCGATGCGAGAAAATATGAGAATTGATATTTTTAAGCCAATATCAGTTTGCATGGTTTAATTTAAAACATGGTAATATTAAAAAGCTCATTGGAAACGAGATCGTATGACATATTATGATGTGGTTCATTGGATTTATTCATAGGACCTTAGATCACGGAATCAGTGTCGACAATGACAATGCACTTTATATAGCCTTCTGTGTTTAAAGTTCGCACTAGGTGTCCAGTTTTCAGTTACCACTCATCATCCGCTGGAAAAAGACAATCGGAGCCGACAAAGAACCAAATACCAGCTATGTTAAAAGCATAATTTCAGATGATTGAAAATTATTTTTGACTTATTATTGATTCCTAGTGTCTAGGCTTTTGTAGACCGCCAGAATTAATAGTAAACTCGGGCCACATTCCACTTTTTATATACTTTGTTTTCTTTTCAGTATTTCCAATCTCATCTTCTTAAATTCTCTTTGATAGAAATCTGTCTTTTTGCGAGGATTTTTGGTTTATCAAATCCGTCGTAACCTACATGTACGTGGTAGAGCCATGCTGTAGCTATGTTGTGGTTGCAGCACGAATGGGTCGGCTCAACCGGGGTGGGGCCACGCTCTCACAGAATACCAGCGTAAAATAGCAGCTCAATTCTGCTGTTTTGTATGGTGAGTGTAGAGAACCGGAGAACCTTTTTACTGGGAACCAGTCACTCCATCTTAGTACTCAGGGGTGACAACACATCTGCATTTTGATTCTTAATCGAGGATAAATGTAGTTGTCTATGGGCCACAGTATCCACTTACCATCAGGTAGACTGTGTGCTCGTTTGTCACCCTTATTCTATAAAAAAAAAATGTTATATACATACTATTGTTCTTTTAAATTCTGTGGAAATTAGTTTTAAGCAATGTAGTATTCTTTGACATTAAAATATTTGTGAAATTTTGTTAAGATTCCCTTAGATTCCAATAAAGGTTCCACATTTTTTAGCTATTAGGTACTACTGGTATTGGTATTTTTATGTTATTACTAAGATTTTAACATAGAATAATGAAATGTAGAACTGCATTATGACACTTACCAAAACATCATTTTGTGACGATCATGTATCACTCCATAAAATTAAATAATCAAGAGCTTGTTTCGCTTGTGTACCCGTAATAAATATGTAAGATGTCTAACGGTTTTCATTTAAGTTTCGAGTACAGTATTCATTTCATATCAAAACCGCTAAATACCGGTTCCACACCGGTATTTTGAAACATCTTTAAGTAAAGTTACAGCCTATTATACGTCCTACTAGACGCTGGGCATAGGCCTCCTCTCAATTCTGAGGGTTTTAGGGCAAGGAAGTGTCTTCCGAGCGCTGCTTCAATAACTGTTGGCGGACTTCACATGTCTTCGATCGTTCTCACGTTCACATTCAAAATCAAATGCCTCGTTTCCAATAAAAAGGATCTCCGATGCTCTACACTCGCCCTACGAAAAATTAAGCATTAAGCTGCTGTTTCACGCTAGTATTCTGTGAGAGTATAGCCCTTCCCCGGTCGAGCTGACCCATTCGTGGTACAACCGTAATAAAGCTGCAGCGTGGCTCCACCATACTGGTCTTACATTCACACATTTTTTAATAGAATAACGGTGAAACAAACACGCAGTCCACCTGATGGTAAGTGTATGCCGTGGTCCATAGACTTCTACATCTATCCTCGATTAAGAATCAAAATGCCGATGCGTTGTCACCCCTGAGGACTAAGAATGCCTCGTTTCCAGTAAAACGGGGTCTCCGGTTCTCTACACTCACCATATGAAACAGCAGCATTGAGCTGCTATTTTACGCTGATCATCTGTGAGAGCGTGGTCCTTCCCCGGTCGATCCGAACCATTCGTGCTACCACCATAATATAGCTGCAGGGCGGGTCTTCCACGTGAACACACACATAAATACACATATTTTTTAGTGAAGCCGTTTCTTACCATGACAATTAATCTACGCACAAATTTCGATAAAGGTAAAGAACAAATAGGAAAGTTCAAAATTTATTACAGCACACGTCACAAAAACATACATTTTATACAAACATTTTTCATCCATAAAATTAATATATTTATAGATAAATAAAAGAAAAGATTTCTAGTTGATTGTTGCATCGAGAAATGTGGTTTCTCGTATTACAAAAGTAACTAGCAGATTCATAGTTAATTCGCTAAGTTTACTTCGTTAAATATAACGATTTAAAATATATTTACCTAAAACAAAACAACTGGACAGAAAAGTATAGAATGACAAATATTAGGTAGATTTTAACTCAAAACAAATATACTTGTTTATTTCGAGAAATTATTAATGACTAACGGCTCAAAACATTTTGACTCCAGCATGATCCAAATAAACTAAAACCTGACATAAAGTAGTTCTCAAGCAAAAATATAATGTATAGGTACTTAAATTAACAACATTTTATAGAATATCCAAAATAATAAGTTACTATCATTTTATATACTATCATTATTGCTATAATTATCAAAAGTTATGGCATAATTGTATTTGTATAAACTTTATTCCTTTTAGGAAAAGTGTCTGCAATTTTGTTTACTAATTGAAATATAACTTAAAAAGTAGGTACCAGTTGCCACTAAAAATAAAATGACCTCATATTTTCCTATAAGCATAATCGTGTATTCAAAATCATTTTTATCAATACACAATTTTGTTATCAATCAGTTATATAGTTTCCACTTTTATAAACTCAATTTATATAATGTTATATACATGACAACGTAAAAAATATTACATAATACCAAGACATAATTATATTCAATAGTTATACAAGTCTTTCGCGAATCATTCCTTATTATCAATTCAATTTCATAACAAAAATAACCCATAAAATATTTGAATCGTTTAATTTCTTCATGACAATACAAACTATTTTATTGATGCGTGCATTTTAACATTTTAAGGTACTATAATATACTATAAATAACAGTACTGATTAATCAAATATTACATGTGTGTCATTTAATAGATCAATATAAATGCTGCATTACGGGTAAATTTACTCATTTCAATTGAAATACTTTTTAAGTTGTCAAATAAAAAAATGTACAGATATTGTACGAGTATTTCTTAGAAATTTAGTAGCTACCTTGTTGTTTGTAATCAAATAAACGTCTTATTTGTATCCTTTTAAATTATACAAAATATTATTGAATTTGATACAGAAATAGGACCAAGTTTTAGTAAATTACGAATAGTAGCGAATTCGATTATAAGACGTAATTTATTATGGTGTCTTCTACCCAATACCGAATTGACTGAATTTCTAAAGTACAAATTCATTTTTTTAAATATTTTATAATTATAATTTTAAATGCAAGCTCGCATTCGATACTTCACTACTTGTGTTTAGACCAATATTTCTTGTAAATTATAACCTTCATCAATTTGTGACAAAAGTAGTTCAGTTTATGATCATTACGTAAAGGCTAAGGTAACGTCCTCCAGACGGAATTATAATTACGGCGGCTAGTTTCAACGGAGACTAGCCAAAATCTTTAGCAAGCACATGTGCACTCTCTATTCCCTCACTCTCAATAGGCCAATGAGACTGCAATCCGACATTACCCGAGAGAGATCAGACGCAGGACCAACTTCTTTACGTGCTTTCCGAAGCAAATTTTCAAGCTTTCAGAAATTTTTTGACAGAAAAACGCAATAGCTGATTTTGGCCCAACCCGGGAACCGAACCCGGACCAATGAGACAGTTATTAAAAATTATCTAATTTCCAAAAGACAGGCATGAAATATAATATTCCATTATTGTTTAAATGCATTTTGAAAAATCAAGTCTTCATACAGGGATTGTACAGTTGAAAAGAACATTTATTCTATTTAAGTAATCATTTAACTCAAACATTCGTTATTCTTTTTACTCATTGTTTTATTCAAACTAAGACAAAAAAAAATAAAACAAAAGAAATAAACTTGTTATTATATAATATTATTCATTATATTAATAATGTTATAGTTTAGGTAATAAATTACATAAATTACTATTATTATTTAAGTGTGGGCACTAATTTCAAAATGTGAGATTAAAATTAGCATGATTTACATGTAGTCCAACTATAATGTAGAACTGAAAATCGAAAAAACAAACATCTCACTGTCTAATATATTTTGTATTTCGTGCGTTATATATACTAAAGTCAAAATTACGTACATATTCCTTCCTATTTAAATAATAAATACTAGAAAAGTACTATATGTATTTTTTACAGTGTATTGTATTTTCATCAAATAAGACAGTTATTATAAGATCATAACATATGTATAACGAAATAAATGTAAAACAGAAGATAAAAGGTGTAAAGAAAAAAAATGAAGACGAGATTAGAAGTTTTACTAAAGCACTTCTTTAGTTAGTGGCTTTATCTTACACTAAATTCAAAACCTAAATCACTGGAGCCTTATAATTCATCCCTAAGGAGTGTGTATCTGTTTTTCGACGGCGCAAGCTTTTTAAACGTGGATTCTGGGGGTGTGGTAACCTTCATATCCGTATTCACCACCACTTGTGGGCTCTCTGGTCCATAATGGAATTCCCTAGAACAAACACAAAATATTAACATGTTTAATTAACTTTGATGGCTCAGAACCACGACACCATTGCGTTTGGGTGCGGCGTGACGGGCCGGAGGTTCGAATCCCGCACGAAACAAGTGTATGTAAGGTTTATAAATAATTATTCCGGGTCTAAATTTTCGTCTTTCTCAATTTAACAATATAAAGCGGCTTCATGATACTGGAAGAAATCTTAATGTGCTAGTAATATTTTTTTAGAAAAACATTATAATTAAACTGCAACTTACAAACTAGTTTTGAAAGGAATCCAGCACATAGTAAGTGTGCAACATTCGGTGGACAAAAAATTACTTTATTTGAAACGTTTTTGATTATTAATAGGATATAAAGGATATAAATAAAAAAATTGCCGATGAAGGATCTAATTCAATAACATGACTTTGATGTTATCGAAAAATATTAAATGGTTATTGCTTGAAAAACGAGAACTAGAATGTCAAAGTTTTTACCGGCCTATTATTTTCTTATCTCAATTAATATAAAGTGTTTTAAAAATCCATTCGATAAAGATTTTAATTGAGTATTTCATGTCTGTGCATATTTTTTGAACTTATACTATTTCAAAAAATATCTAAAATACGATATTTTGTCCAACCTGGCCTTAAGTAGAAACATCCCATTGGATACAGGCTTTTCCCAATAAGGCAACCTTATGAAGATCGCGCGGATTTCCATGGCATCGTGAATTTTCACTAATGCAAACTAAAATTATCATTTGCATTAATACATGTGAGATGATACAGTTTATTTGTGATAGAACAATTGCATCTATATAAATGCGCATCAAAGAAGTGTGAAATTGCGTGTCGCATCCCGACATTTAGGAAAAATAAAGAGGTGGGCTATAACTAACAACTTATCATATATACTCATGGACAAATTTAGAGGAACGCAAAAAAAGTGAGTATAAAACAGAATATCGTGGATATTTCTGACATTGTTTGATCAAATGACAAAAACTAACCAAATTACGAAAAAAGTCAAAAATCGTTTTCGTACTTAACAATTTATAATTTTTTTTTTCATAAATGCCAAGAAAAGGCTATAACGTGGTTCGAACTGCTTCAACAAAATCTTGAGAGATTGCATTCCATTCCTCCTGTAATGTAAGATCTCTCAAATTAGGTTGAGCAAGATTTGCTTTCTTAAATTGTCTTCCAAGCTTAATATGGTCTCATTTGTGAATAGAACTTGACTCCAAGCTTCGTTATTAAAATTTTCGTGATTGAGAGCAAAATTAAATCGAGCTACTCAATCGCATGTGGCAAGAAGTGGGCCTCTGGCAGGCAAGTTTGAATTTAATCCGGCCGTTTTCAGTCTTTTTCTCACTGTTTTTGTGCTTACTGTATAACTCTTTGAACTTTTTGGAGCTTCGTTGTTACCTCAGAAGAAGTTAAGGTCCGGTTTCTAAGCACGCAAGTAATGATGAACAGGTCATCTCTGGCCACAGTTTTCCGTTTACGTCCCTGTCCTGCGAGTCTCTTTACTGCCCAGCTTACCGATACCACTTGACAATTTGGTTTACCACAGATTTTGATGCTCGTAATGTTTGGACCACAGCTGTGCCCAGTTTCAATTAAAGTAACAGCCCTAGTAAATTGAGTAGCGTTTAGATCTGGCATTCTCAGTTTATTTGCAGTAATCATCATCATCATCATCATTACAGCTTTTCATAAGTCCACTGCTGAACATAGGCCTCCCGCAAGGAATGCCACAAAGCACGGTCCTGAGCCACCTGCATCCATCGACTTCCTGCATCTTACCAGGTCGTCACTCCATCTCGTGGGGGGTCGCCCTACACTTCGCCTACCGGTACGAGGCTGCCACTCAAGAACCTTTCTTCCCCATCGGTTGTGGATTCTTCGAGCTATATATAATTTGCAGTAATAATTCATACTTAATACGATAAACAAGGCCATTAAGGGAAAAATTTAAACAAAACCTAAATTTAATCTCAAACTTAAAATAGGCAAAATTTTTCGTAGTGTGAAGAACTCAATAATTACATAAAACCCTTGACATTCCAAAATGTTCTTTTTTAAATAGCATTTACTAATATTTGTGGTGTGACGCACGATAATTACAACAGCAGAAATTAAACCTTTTTCTTTTGCATTCCTCCAAAGGACATGCAAAAACTTGCCTAAGAACCAACATATATTTGACAATTACCAAAATTCTTATCCTTAATTATGCATTAGATAACATTCAATAGATAGTAACGGACACTTCTGAAATGTGAAATCAAAATAAAAAGGACTTTTTAGATTTTGTACTTTGTACCTATTTTTAATACTAATGTGCTGCGTTTATAGTCTCATGTGATTTGACCAATCGCACAATACCTTCACTCACATATTTCAAAAGTTGTCATAAACTCAAATATATTATGAAAACATTAATATTTTAAAACATACCTCAGATTAATTTATGCCACAAGGAACTGGGATACAGTAAAATCATCTGTTTTCATTTAAAATAACAATACTTTTCATTTAAAATACCAATGAGAGTACAATACTCTCATTGGCCAAATCAGCATTGTGGCACGCAAAAAAAAACGTCAATAACGTTAAAATAGATAGACGTCAGACGTGCGCTCGTTTTCGTTTTGTTTGAAAAAATACATTTCTGCAAATGTTTTCGGAATCTAACTGCACTGTGCAGTTGGTTTGTTATGCAATAAGTTTACCTAATCACAACCTGAGTTTTATTTACCGAATAAGTTCTAGGCTAAGACTGAACTGCTAACATTAACAATAATATAGTAATGTTTCATAAAAATAAAACATAACCTCAAAATCTCTACTATGATAACTGCTAATATCTATGTTTTCAGAAGTGTCCGTCAGGAGTTATTGTTCTTACATACAATTATGTGTAATTTCGAACTTAAAAAGGTTTTTTTTCCACTGTTAGTTCTTAGGCGAACATTGTATGGACGCAGCAACAATGTCATTTGTCCATGAGTGTATCTTATCATAATTACCAAGCTGTCGACTTTGCACAACCATCAGCTTCAATACAACGGCCAGTTAATAACAATACAATCATTATAATATACAATACAAAAAATATACAACATAATATTAATAGATGAACTGATAGTCCCTCATACAGGCATAGTTGATAGAATTCACTCAAAAATTCCTATCTTACGAGCCAAGTATGATAAGATCCCTAAACAATTTGTATTTGATAAGAAGTATAAGATACAATTAAATGAAACCAGACAGTCGGAGGAATTAAGCCCAAAAGAGCTTAGAGTTTTCTCCGATGGTTCTAAAACAAATGAAGGTGTAGGATCTAGAACTTTCTCTGGAGACCTCAAAATCCTAAGCTGGGTACCTATAACACAGTCTTTCAGGAGGAATGTATGGGTATCATTCAAGCGACCATAGCAGTAGATGCTAGGTTGGTTAATGACTTCTCCATCAGAATACTGACCGACAGTAGGGCTACAGTAGTACTACAAGCTCTGAATTGCAATGTGGTGAACTCGGGACTAATATATGAATGCCATCAACAATTAAATGAGGTATGTAAACACAACAATGTGACTCTGCAATGGATAAAGGGACACAGTGGATCCAGAAGCAACAATGCAGCATACAAACTGGCCAGAAGAGGATCGGCTCTGGCCACTATAGGGCCGGAACCAATCATACCAATCCCCTTTGATAACGTTCATTCACTGGTACGTAGACACTTCACTAATCAACACGCTCAGCTTTGGTAAAATCTAGTAGACTGTAGACAAGCCAGGAACTAGGAGGCTCTGCCTGAAATAAACAGTTGTTTAACCAAGGTTTTTTAGGGGATCTCATACACTTCACTCAAACATACAATCATACAGTCACACACACACACGCATTTACACTATACACTCTTCCTATCACTTGGTCGGCGTTTGGTAGATTCGATTCCGCGCGGCATCGTGGATACCACACCATATATGGTAATATCGTAAGGCAGCGGTTGTGGGCCGGCGGTGTGAGAGCACCGCCCCTTGATCTGTCGATCAGTCGTTTACATGCTTCGACGCGGATTGTCACATTGTCTTGCAGACGCTTTAATAATCATTTACGTGTATATCTTTGTAAATTTTTTGTCTCATTTTAATTTCTCTCTATCACTGTACTTCTTCCTTCTTGTTAAGAATTTGCGTTTCATTCTCCTTCCTTCTATTTCGATGTGACTTTATATTTGTATGAATATTAAATCGTGAGTGTTAGTATAGGACTACCTTTTATTTGTACACCTCCTTCTGTCTGCACACACCTAGCAGATACATCACCCCACCACAGTTATAACGAGACTGAAAGCCACATATCAGGATAGTAACAAGTGCTATCACAGGACACGGTATCTTTAACAAACATTTATTTACCATGGGTTTTACAGATAGTCCCATGTGCAGGGCATGTATGGGAGAGGAAGAAACAGCGGCCCACGTGTTGCTGACATGTTCGGAGGTCGCTGCATACAAGGTTAAACATCTCGGCACGCCGGGATCACTCCCCGAAGTTGTTCGCAACATCAAAGGACTGTTGAACTTCTTCGGAGCAATCTCATGGCTCGAATAATTACATTATTCCTGCCCACACGCAACACTCAGGTCAGTATTTGCAAGGTTAGCATAATTGTTCTGTTGCAGATGTGCTTATTTTTCAAATGACTCCTACGAGAATGACGAAAGTGGCAAGCAAATATATTTCATAAAATACTTTCTGTTACAGCTACTGTTTCTTAATTTTTAATTATAAAAAATATGAGACGACATAATTTATATATTTAATACTAGCTGTTCCCTGCTACTTCACCCGCGTGTTTTTTGGGTTTTAATTTTTTTTGCACGGAACCCTAAAAACTACTTTTCTAAAAAAAAGTAGCCTAAGTTACTCCTTGTGATATCAGCTATCTGCCAGTGAAAATCCCGTCAAAATCGGTCTACACTGTCATATACATTTAGTAAAAAGCAGTAATTTTGACATTACAAACAGACACTTCAATTTTATTAATTTGTATAGGTATATATTTACATACATTACTACAAATGATGTGTAAAATTGATATATTTAATAAAAAAATATACTCAGAAAACTGGACTTTCATTATTAAAAATATTCATAAAAAACAATTGGAGACTTACCTGTGAAGTTTACCAGAGTATAAATCTTGTAAAAATTGTTTCAGCTTGCCAGGCTTTTCCATATCATTGTAGTCAGGGAACAAGTACATGTGGCGGAATGAGTCAATGGCTATTAAAGGTAGATCAGAAACAGATTTTCCCAAATGGTGTAGAGGATGCTCGAATCGCACACCGTCCGCCGTAAGGAAGTTTACATTCTCTGAAAATATTAAACATATATTTACAAAACTTGTTCCTACCAGCTTATCATTTTCAAACGAGGTAATTATGATGCTGCTGATAACACACATTAATTTGACTTATCTAAACTGTTATAATTACATCCCTATGTAAGAGATAAGGGATAGTGAAAAGAATGTGTGATGTCAACTCAACAGAAATTCTCATGAGAAATGCTCCCATGTTGGGATGTGAACTGTTAATAAATGATAACATTAACCGAGAGTGTGTTGGGACTCCATCAGGTAGAATTGTGTTTTGAATCATTTTCACAACACATTTTCTAAATTTCATAAAGTTACGTTGTTTCTTAAATGTTATTTGTGAATCTAGTCTGTCTTATCAAAAAAAAAATCTAATCTGTTTATCAAGATTGTTTGTTGCATTATTTAAAATATTAAAGTTAGGACACATTGCCGGTCACTTTGTGGCTTGAAGTAGTAGTCTGAATCTGCAGTAGTTGGAAGTAAACACTAGAAATGAGTTGGGGGCTGGTTCGAACTTTAGGCATAGTCAGTTTGAATAGCCTATCATGTAGAGGATGTCAATGGGGTCATGGTTGAATAGGGGCAAAAAGTTCTCATTACACTTCTAGGGGGTCAAAATGGCTAAAAACAAAAAAATTATAAATTCTTATTTCGACTATAGCTCCGCCTCCTTCGTAGGTTCTTACACAGTCTTTACTTCCTGCATCCCACTTGTTTATGGAAACACCCAAGACAAGCAAAGAAAGCAAAAATAATGTTTTTTAAAAACATGCACTCACGCACATTTATATGTGATAGAGCCACACTGTCTCTATATTATGGTTATTGTATAAATGGGTCAATTTGACCGCGGAAGGACTACGCTCTCACAGAATACCAGTGTAAATTAGCACCTTAATACTGCTGTGTTTCGTATTATAAGTGTAGAGACAGCTCCGTGGTGCAGTGGCTTAGCAATGAGTTGTTGCGCTGGGGGTCGCGGGTTCGAATCCCGCACGGAACAAGTATTTGTATGGCCTACAAATAATTGTTACGGGTCTGGATGTTTGTCCTTGTGCAATTTATGTTTGTAAACTGCCTCCACGACACAGGAGAAAATCTTAGTGGGGGTAACGTTTTTTAAAATAAAGAAAAAAAAAAGAGAACTGGAGACCATAAATACTAGAAACAAGGCATTCCATCTTATTTCTCAGGGATGACAATTCATTCTTAATCGAGGACAAATATAGATATCTATGGGCCGAAGCATGCACTTACCATCAGGTAAATGGTGTACTGGTTTGTCACCCTTATACTATAAAAAAACTCACACATATTCATCAAAATAATTTTCAAGCAACAACATGGTTGTAGGTTAAGTGAGCGTCCAGCAGGGAACTTTAAAAGGCTGTTATGAAAAGAAAGAAGATGTGTATGTGAGTGAGTATCAAGAAGTTATTGCATGGTTTCTGTTCGAATGTGCTTGAAATTTATGCAGCACTCCGTCCATCTTCCTTTGTTGGACTTATTAGATTAAAATGTACTGCATAATATGTAATTGGTTTACACAGAAACTATCCCGAATCACTTTTTAAATCCACTGCTGAATATAGGCCTCCAACACTTATTGCCCCATAAGGGGGATATCTGCCATAATTGCCACGCCTTGGAAGTGGGTTGGCAACCACAGTTTTTTTTTTATTATTTTAAATTTTGGTTATGAAGATGCCCATCTACTGTGTAAGTTTCCCTCTGTCACCCCTTACACAGTCTCATAACATTTGGCTATTGAAGAATATGATAAAATTATTATATTTTTAATAAAAATATAATTAGTAGGACAATTGTTCAAGAACACACAAAATTTGTAAAATGTTACCACACTGATAAAAGAGTATGAAAACAAAACAGTGTTTTTTTATAGGATATGGGTGACAAGTGAGCACACAGTCCACCTGATGGTAAGTGGCCCATAGACATCTACATCTATCTTCGTTTGCAAATAAAAATGCAGATGCGTTGTCAGCCGTGAACACTAAGATGGAATGCCTCTTTTGCAGTAAAAAGGGTCTCTGGTACTCTACACTCACCATACGAAGCACAGCAGCATTAAGCTGCTATTTTACTCTGGTATTCTGTGAGAGTGTAGTCCTTTCCCAGTCAAGCTGACCCATTCATGCTACAACTATACAATTAATATAACTGCAGCATGGCTCTACCACGTTTAAGTGTAATAAAAGTTTAGGAAATACATTATGATAAAAGTACAAGAAACATACGTTTTTCAGACACCAACTCCCTACTTATGATTTCTTTGTACTTCTTTATACTTTCTGTATCTGAAGGATGATGAAACAAAATTAGGAATGGCAATCCATCCTCTGTGAGCTCTTCTGCATTTTCAAAGGTTATCTCACGGACCAGAGGAATGCACTTTTCTTGAACCCAGTTATATAATTCGTCAAAGCTTTTTAGTGAGCCTAGATAAGTTTCATCAGGCTCGGTGGAAGTTTTTCTGTCAGTCCTGAACACAACAATTGGTTGACCTGTTGAAATTACATTTATTTTAAAAAAAAATAAATAGGGACTCTATATATTTGCAAATGTGGACCTGATTTTTGCTTGTCTAAGACTATAATAAAAATTTATAGGGTGTAGCACATGACTGACATGATATTGGCAGATTTTTAACTAAACTAAAACTAAGGATAAGAAAAGGAATTTAAAACAAAATAAAAAACGGAAGTTTCAGTATTATTTAAAATTAATGATGAATAAAATTTATTCAATACTAATAAATTATGTATGTTTTATTGAGTAATTTTATCTTTAAAACTTAATTAGGGTATCAACATCTACCTGGTGGGTGCATTTGCTGAGAAGCATCTCCAAAACCAGCATGGAAGATACATTCATCTTTAAGACTAGCAGCAACTCTTCGTATTACTTCATATTCAGGCTGATCTCTTCTATCCATATAAGCAATTATGTGCCTCTTGTCTTCACTTAGATCATGCAGTTCTTTTAACGAACCAAAGGTTATGATGGGATCAGTCAACTGCTTCTTAATGAATTCAGCAAATGCTTCAACTGAACGCTGACCTGACATAAATGAAAAACAACAAATAAAGTAAAGCATTTTAAAGAAAAATTGTGAGCTTTTTTAACATTAAGAGATCTTAATTATACATATAAACTACTTCTAAAAATTATAAAGAATTTTAAAATTAAATTGAATTTTAATCTAATACCCTATATTCCAAACTAATATTATAACAGGTGTACATAAAATAATATTGATATCTTTTTCTTTAGCAATCCTAAAACACGAAGGACTGTCTAACCGTCCGACGAAGGAATATATATCTATTATGTTTAAGGGTTCTAACTGTGATTTTTACCATAGTAAAACTGTTATTATTACAGCAGAACTTCGTGTTCAGAGGATACTTGCTCATTTTGTTTCTCAGGCTTTGAATCAATCCCTATGGCAATCTGTACTTGGTGTGCAAAACAAAGCATAAATAATAAACGAGTTGAATGTAAATTCAAGAAAAACAACTTCCTTCCGCGTGAATCCCATATCTCTGGTGCCCTTTGACCTACAGGACCTACCAAATTTAAAGTCAATCGGTCCAGTGGAACGGAAGTTATCGTGTCGGCATACAGACTAACAGACTGCCAGCTAAAACCATTAACTTCCTTTTAATGCTACGCAGAAAGAAGTTAATAAATAAATCTGCCACTGAATTTTTGTGTCCCCAGGCAGCTACACCTCTCAATTAATAACAGTAAGATAGCTCACTCAAAATCAGTGTTACCATGCACAACCATCTTCTTATTTTAGAAAAATGTTAAATTTCTTCCAGAGGAAGAGTTGGGTCCCATTTTAGAATATTCAGATAACTGTTGAAAGAAAAAGACAAAATCTGAACCTCGCGGTTTTTCGGTAATTTACGTAAATACTTACGTAGAGTCAGTGAAGACTATGAAATATTTTGAAATGCATTTACTCATGTCGGCTCTACTAAACTCGAAGCTACTACAAGCAACATCTGCGTTGTTTGCAGAGGATGAGAATAATTCGACATTAGGTACTACTTTCGGTAAGTCCGAGTGTCCAACCTCAGCAGAAGTTTAAATTGAATTCCACATAGTATAATTGTGTTGAAAAGTCACACTTAACTAGCTGTTCCCCGTGACTTCGCCCGCGTGTAATTTAGGGTTTTAATTATGTTACACGGAATCCTGATTCTTTTTGTAAAATATAAGTAGCCTAAGTTACTCCTTATAACATCAGCTATCTGATGTTATAGAGAGTGAAAGTCCAGTCGAAATCGGTCCGGCTGTTTCGGAGATTAGCCGGAAAAAACAGACAAACAGACAGAAATTTTAAAAATTGTGTTTTTGTTATAATTACCGTATATATTTTCATATACATTTAGTAAAAAGTTGATATTTTGACATTAGATTGACGATAAAGCCATTGCAATTGTAAACTGGAAAGCATAAGAAACAGTGGGAAGAGGAGGTATTGTCATCATGTGTCATGTCAAAATCAAGCTATTACGTTCATATTGCGTTTGTGTAAATATGACCATAAAGGAAATCTTTAAATTTCTTGATAATGACAAACCAGATAGTTCTATGGTCAACCGGAGAACTTATACTTGTACCACATTCTTATCAAACTTAATACTTTAAGAACGTCTTCATAGTCAAGGTCATCTGTTTATGGAACAAACTTCCTCCACATATTCATTGTGTGAAAACACTAAATAAGTTATGACTAACGACGAAAATCATACCTATCACTGTAATAATCACTTAAAATCATTGACGACATTTAGACTTTTGTTTCCCTTCTGTATTTATTTATGTAAATTATATATACCTAGTCAGGTCATAAGTATTGACACAGTAAAAACTTTTCTTTTAGAATGCTGACCACAAAAAAGTTTATTGAATTCGAGTTTCGAATTGTTCATGAAAATAAAACTGTATACTTTTTAGAATTTTACTCATTTATAAATATGGAGTGGACGCTTAAAGAAGACCGTGTTGCAGTTATTGTGTTGCATCGTTGCGGTTACGCGCCAATTCAAATTTTTGACATACTGAAAAATTTGAATATAACCAAAAGATTCGTTTATCGTACCATCAAACGATACAATGAAGACTCCAGCAGTGATAAAAGCTGTGAAGGTGCGAATTCAAAGAAATCCCAAACGTAAGCAGAAACTGTTGGCCCTTCAGATGGGGTTAAGCAGAACCACGGTGAAAAGGGTGTTAAATGAAGACTTAGGGCTTCGGGCATAATCGAAGAAAAACAGGACATCGTTTGAATGCTCGTCTAATGGACCTGAGACTGAAGATATGCCGCGCTTTGTTGAAGCGGTACGCGGGAAAAAAATATCGGGAAATTCTTTTTTCGGATGAAAAAATTTTTACCGTAGAAGAGAGCTACAACAAACAAAATGATAAGGTGTACGCACACAGTAGTGAAGAAGCCGTATTCCGCGTGTCCAACGAGGTCATTTTCCATCCTCATTGTTGGGAGTTTCTTATTGGGGCTTAACAGAGGTACATTTTTGTGAGAAAGGTGTAAAAACAAATGCAGTTGTGTATCAAAATACAGTCCTGACAAACCTTGTGGAACCTGTTTCTCATACCATGTTCAATAACAGGCACTGAGTATTCCACCAAGATTCGGCGCCAGCTCATAGAGCGAAGAGCACACAAGACTGGCTGGCGGCGCGTGAAATCGACTTCATCCGGCACGAAAACTGGCCCTCCTCCATTCCAGATTTGAATCCAAGAAAGATAGATTACAAGAAATTGGCAACACTTGGAGGAAAAGGCGTGCTCAAAGCCTCATCCCAATTTGGAGTCACTCAAGACATCCTTGATTAAGGCAGCCGCCAATATTGACATGGACCTCGTTCGTGCTGCAATAGACGACTGGCCGCGCAGATTGAAGGCCTGTATTCAAAATCACGGAGGTCATTTTGAATAAACTTTAGTGTCATAAGAATCTATGTTTTGTTAAGTTCATTTTGGTATATAAATGGTTACATAATGAATAAACTTGTTTCAATTATTTTATATTAAACATGTGAGAATTTATGACCTGAATAGGTATATTAAAAAAAATTATGTTGAAGATTGTTGGTGCGAAAGACAGAATACTTCCATCCAACGAGTTACGGGGCAATTTTGTGTCCCAGAGCTTTGTTTGGGGACAATGCGACAGGTGACCGAGAAAAGGGACAGTCCCGTTCAAAACGGGACGTATGGTCACTTTACCTATATACCCTTATACTTCTTGTTGATTTTTGTATTACCTTTATTAAAGTTACCCTTACGTATAAATAAATATAATAACGTATGTAGAAATAAAATTGAATAAAAATAAAAACAAACATGTTTTTTTTCATCCTCATCTATCATTGGGATAAGGATAATATCAGCCAGCATAAGTAATAAGCAGGCTAAGTTACAAGATGCTCAGTTCATAAATTAGTAGGTAGGTATGTTACTTTTCAATACGTGACACGTAAAAATTAACAATAATCAAAAACACATCTGCGAAACATCCTATTTATTTATTTATTCTTTATTGCACCAAATATTTGTACAAAAGGTGAGCTATCTATCTATTTACCTATAATGAGTAGGTATCTTTTAAACTCACAATTTTCAATGCTTCATCTATACAAATAAATAAAATTGAAGTGTCTGTTTGTAATGTCAAAATTACAGTTTTTTACTAAATGCATATGAAAGTAATACCTATAACTAAAATACAATTTTTAAAATTTTTGTCTGTCTGTCTGTTTGTCTGTCTGTCTGTTTGTTCCGGGTAATCTCCGAAACGGCTGGACCGATTTCGACGGGACTTTCACTGGCAGATAGCTGATTTCATAAGGAGTAACCTAGGCTACTTTTATTTTAGAAAAAGAATCAGGGTTCCGCGCAGAAACATAAAAACCCTAACACGCGAACGAAGTCGCGGGGAACAGCTAGTTTTTAATATATAATTGATTATAAAATTTCATAATTAGATAATATATGAGAATACATAGTTCTAATATAATGCAACTAATATACCGAATAAAAAAATTAAAATACATTTATCGTTGTACACCGTGTGTATTTCTGTAAAATAGTTTATTGATGTTGAAAAAATAATACTACGTTCGTACAGTCTTGCATATTTCTTACGTGACTTCTCAAAAAAGGAGGAGGTACTCAATTAGACTATTTTTTTTACGTATGTTAGATCACAATTTTTTTTTCTGGGTGAACCGATTTTGATGATGCTTTTTTTTATTTGAAAGCTGGTACTTCTCATGTGGTCCACCAGTATTTTTTGAGTATTCCTTAATAATGCATATTTAATTGACTTTGACTATATTGATGATGTTTTCATTTTATTCATATTGAAGTTTTGTTGTCCAAAATTTTTTAATATTACCACTTTTTATTTAGATGCTAAGTGGATGCTGTGGACCATAGACATCTACATTTAGTTTCAATTAAGAATCAAAATGCAGACACATTGTCACCCTTAAAGACTAAGATAGAATACTTCATTTCTAGTAAGAACGGTCTCCAGTTGTGTACTCACCAAAAGAAACACAGCAACATTAACATTAAGCTGCTATTATTTGGTGATACCTTACCTCTATATTCCTTCTTAGCTGGAAGGCCATTACGGAAGAGCTTTAGTGTGGGATACTTTGTAATGTGAAACCTTGTTGCTATAGCTCCTTCCTTATCACAGTCTACCTTTCCCATAACAACTTTTCCAGTATCATAACCTTCCTTGACAACTTCGTCCGCCGCATCATCGAAAATCGGCATCAGCATGTTGCTAAATTTACACCACTCAGCGTAAAAGTTAATGAATACCACCTCATTAGATGCTGCAATAAGATGTTTTCAAAATTAAAATTCAAAATCATTTGTAAACCAAAACGTAATCTTAAAAAGGCTTACCTAGTACCATGTCTAAATTGTTTTGTGTAATCTGAACTGCACCACTATCAGTTGGGTTATACAAACTATGGCAAATCTGTAACATAACGTTAATCCATTTTATTACCCTTATTACTTATTCCTAATAAACCATGAATTCAACAACCAATTAATGTAAGTACGTGTACAAATTTCTGTAACGGTTTAAAGAATTAACTTACCAATATTAAAGCTATAGGTAGTATATTAAAAGATAATGTTTTTTGAACATGTCTCCACATTTTGTAATTTAAATAATATTGCCGGTCTGGGTGACGACACTCGACACGATTCGAATATTTCTATTTTCTCAGCGAATTCGTCGATTTTAGTCACTTCAAGCTTAAGACAGATCGTCACCAATGTTGCCACCATAGAGTAATAAGCCGTTTTTTTTTAAACTGGCTTTATAGCTCTGGGTTCTAGCTCTACTGAACTAATAATAAACCGAAAGTTGCCACCTGAAATGAGAATATAATCACTACGGCCACTGACCATGAGCAGGGCCAGGGAATTATGGAATTTAGAGTAGAAGGAGAACCATCTTATAAGGTGCGAAAGTTGAAAAAGTGTCCCAATATATACTGAAAATAGAGGTTCCAAAACCTACCACAATAGCGCTGGCGTCTGAAAAACTACGATATGAATATAGCTGTTGTAGACGGAGTGAAGTCAGCTGAATTAAAATATTTAAAAAATTTCATGACTAGAGTAGTTAGTAAAATGCCAGTATACAAAACCTAAACTATTTACGTAGTACAAAACCAAGCGGATTGGTCGGTCCTTGTTTATTTCTGCATTTTATTCTAATAAATTTTGGCGGTTTTTTTTAAATTTATCTTATGCTACTACAGCACCACCCTTATTGGACGCGTTTTTAGGTACACTTTTCATATACAGAGATGGTTCTCCTTCTACTTTACACTCCATACAGGGAATGAAAGAGTATATAAAACGTAGAATATAAATAAAACTACGTTTAGGTAATATTGGGGAAATGGGTAATATAAAATCCAAGTTGACAAAAACTTTAGTTAAAACTAAAATTGAAGTGTCTGTCTGTAAGATTGAAATAACTGAAATTTATAAAAGCTTTTAAAAAAATTTACTTCGCAAATATCCGCGTTATAAAATAAAATGATGTGTCTTACCTAGTATGAAGAGCACCTCCCGCCCTCCCTCAATTGCATGCACTATCCCCGTCACCACTAATCCCAGCACCGCTACTCCCAACACCACTACACTAGGCAAGACACACCACTGTTGACAATAGGACACGTGTTGCGCCTCTACACGAGGCATCCTCAGGTGATATAGACTCTACGGTGACTAACCACTAAATGAGCGGCGAGTCAAAACAACTGCTATTTATACAGACCGCTGACGCAACCGCTCTCTACTTAAGGAGCGAGTGACATGCGATAAAACATGCGACCAATCACCGCCGGACTTACGCAGCCGTTTGTAAAATTAAAAACACACCGCCGAGCAACGTCCGCCTACCCTCCAACCACGCAACCAATCGCCGATCACCGTTGCAATGTGGTGAACTCAAGACTAATATATGAATGCCATCAACGATTAAATGAGGTATGTAAAAACAACAATGTGACTCTGCAATGGTTAAAGGGACACAGTGGATCCAGAGGCAACGATGCAGCAGACGAACTGGCCAGAAGAGGATCGGCTCTGACCACTATAGGGCCGGAACCACTCATACCAATCCCCTTTGGTAACGTTCGTTCACTGGTACGTAGACACTTCACTAATCAACACGCTCAGCTTCGGAAAAATCTAGCAGACTGCAGACAAGCTAGGGAGGCCCTGCCTGAAATAAACATTCGCTTAACCAAAGTTTTAATGAGACTGAACAAGCCGCAGATCAGGATAGTAATAAGTGCTATCACAGGACACGGCACCTTTAACAAACATTTATTTACTATAGGTGTTACATATAGTTCCCTGTGCAGAGCATGTATGGGGGAGGAAGAAACGGCGGCCCACGTGCTACTGAAATGTCCGGAGGTCGCTACGTACAGGGCTAACCATCTCGGCACGCCGGGATCACTCCCCGAAGTTGCATGCAACATCAAAGGACTGTTGAACTTCTTCGGGGAGATCTCATGGCTCGAATAATTACATTATTCCTGCCCACACGCAAAATACGCGCATAGACGTGGAGTTGCGTAAAATTAATTTTATAATTCTGTCGTCTGTCTTTCTGACCGAGCTAATTTTTTGAATAGCTGAACCAAACGTAATGAAATTTATGATAACTAGTAATTAACTTATTAAAATAGTCTTTGTATTAAATTTGAGTAACACCACATTAATAAATCCTACCAAGGAGAAGCCAATGTGCGTCGTTAGTATATAAATATAGGTACTCACAGAATACTATTACTCCTAGAAGAGTACAGTCCGTAAGGATTAAGAATGGGAATAGCATTGACTAATACGATGCAAATTTAGTCAAGATCACTCCTGGTATTACTATCTATATCTATACTAATAAAAATTCACGAATAGTGAAGTTTTATAACAATCGGTTCAGACGTTCCGAAGATCGTCGTTCGTTTCGTTCGTCTGTCGACCAGACAGACAAACTAAAACTAAAAAAAATAGCTATTCATGTCTAAAATGGCTGAAATTAAATTGACACTTGAAGATGCTGTTATAAGTTGTTGCCACCCTACAAAACAAGTTCTAATGTGATTAGCGTACAAACTAATAAGAAGTGTTCATGGACGTACATCAAGTCTACTCATTGTCATGTAAGGCATGTATAAGGCTGGCCTTATACAAACGGAATTCCGTTTCGTGATTCCGTTTCGGGATTCCGTGAATACATCACACACATAAGTTTATTTCCGTTCGGAATAATAAGGCTCAATTGAGAGACGTTAGCCATTGAGTCTAGACATTCTGCCAGCGAATAATGACGACAATTTTCTGATTGCGATTCCATTGTCGCTGTATTCTTGTTGCTGTGTGTATCCTCTTATCTTCCTAAGGTTGCAATATAGTCAATATTATGTAAAAAATTCTATCTATTCAGAGATATATTTTTTTAAATATGGATGTCTGTTAACCCTTTCGACAAATTATAAAACAAAATAAGATGAAAGGTTACGAAAAACATATAAAATTAAATGTAAAAACGTACATAAACACACCTACTCGCTTCGGTCGTGCGAAGAACACTGAGCGCGTTCTGTACGGAATTTACGAATGTGTGTTGTGACTCATACAAAATCTATGGAAAACTTGCGTTCGGAGCGGCTTTTTTCCGTTCAGGATTCCGAACCCATAGGGATACGGAATCACAAATCGAAGAAAATTCCATACGGAAGATTACCGTTCGTGTGTGGCGGGTACTTGATTTTATATGGACGTGCTGTGTTCGGAATCCCGAAACGGAATCCGGTATATATGTGGCCGGCCTAAGGCGTTTTAGTAGTCTGTGTAAGATGCGTAATGGATGCCATACACGATCCAGTTTACCATCAAGTTAGCAGCGCGCTTGAAGCAGCGTCAAGTTTGCAGTGCATCCATATAGACCACTCACGTACAAGTTAACCGTCAAGTTTGTATGATGCCGCATCAGTTGAAACCATGGCGTCTCTCGCTTATTTACTCTGTCTACCGTCATGCATACTTGACGGCTCATTAGGAGTAGGTAATATCTTAATTTCTGAAATCGAAATCTTATCGAAACTATATATTGATATTTGATATCAGATTTCGAAACACTATATTTTCTGAAACTATATATTGACGATATATACGACATTATTCCATATATGCCGTTATTTCGCTACCGGTTTCGCGACGATTTTTAACAAAGTGGATACTGACTCGATACTCGGCCAGGCCTCTGTCACTCTTGTTACCTGCGTGAAATTACGAGTATTACCTACAATCGCAAGCTGCTCCAGGGGTAGATCGCAGTAAGAGCTAGCGCACTCTATACGATTGAATGTTGAAGTTTTTTAACGCTGTTTACGTTAATAATTTTATGTAAATACTTGTTTAAATACTCGTTTAGTATATTTAATTGTAGGATAAAATAGTTGAAAAAGTTTAATATATGTATATTACCTATCTATTTGTTAAATTATAATAGCAAAACGTCGTTTCTACTATAATTTTTGCGGGGATGGATGCTTAATGAGCAATTAAAAGGATTCAGATATATCATTTTTTGAGTTACCGAAGGATAATGAAAGGTAATTTTATTTAATTTTTTGTTTGATAAAGTAATAATTTAACTACAGAAGTAATACCTAAGTACTTTATTACATCTCATCTCATAGATTAAGGTTAAAAGTTGAAATTTTATAAAACAATCGCGCCAAAATACTAAGAGAAACCTTCAAACAGACTTTGTACAATATTAAAGTCAAAGTTCAGTCGTGTAGTGGCGGTTAAGAATATCCACTACCCCATGTCTTCCCGTGGGTGTCGTAAAAGGCGACAAAGGGAAACAGGCAGGAGATGGGCAGCAGCATCTTCCTGGTAACGGCAAAAATACAATAAAAAACTGCGGTTGCCAACCCGCTCGCCAAGCGTGGCAACTATGGCAATATACCCCCCATGATGAAAGTTACGAAGAGACGGCCCCCAGTCCCCGGCGGCCCCGCTATTCCTGGCTACGGTGGCGACCATGGTAACGGCGGGGCAGGGGGTGCTAAGAATCTCCGGTGGAGGTTCGGTTGCCACCTACAAAGACTCGACCTGGCAACATACAACGCACGCACCCTGAGGACTGACGAGAAGATTGTGGAGCTGGAAGAAGAGATAGAAAAGTTACGCTGGCATATTATAGGATTATCCAAAGTCCGAAGAGAGGGGGAGGACACGGTAATCCTCGAATCCGGCAACTTGCTCTATTACCGGGAGGGCGACCATCTGTCCCAAGGAGGTGTCGGATTTATCGTCCACAAGTCTCTCGTTAACAAGGTTGTAAAGATTGAGAGTGTGTCGACGAGGGTTGCGTACCTTATACTCAGAATCACCAAACGGTATTCGCTGAAGGTCATACAGGTTTACGCACCAACCTCGGCACACCCCGATCAGGAGGTGGAAGAAATGTATGAGGATATCTCTAGAGCCATGCATTCCTCCAAAACCCAATATACGGTGTTAATGGGAGACTTCAATGCAAAACTAGGCACAAGAGAGAACGGTGAGCTGAAAGTGGGGAAATTTGGAATAGGGCAACGGAACCCAAGGGGCCAGC